AATTTGTTAGATCAATTTACAATCTTTTCATCATTTTCGTTCTCTCTCTCTCTATTTAAATATATCTAATGTGTATGTTAATGCTGACAAATGTTTTAATGATCAATCTTCATTGAACATCTAAAAAAATCGATATTGTATGAAAACGCCTAAGATACAGTAGTTTTAATCCTATATCAATAGAAAAATACTGTAATCTCGTTGAATAAACACTGATAGCATTTAAGTTCTGCTATTGATCATTATTTATCGATCATGTACTATACTTAATTAAGACAACTATGTTCTTTCATATTCTCTTAATGTCTTTTTAATATTCTTATTAATTCAATATTCATGTTACTTTTATACATTCGTTTATTACTGTATAATAGTTAACATCTTACCAATCTTTATTTCGTCATTTATTTTGTTTACTTGGTTATCGAGATGTGTATCGTTTGGTACATTGTTAAGTAAGAAAAATTCAACGCCATGTTAATCAACATATAAGTATAATGATTCTCGTACTACGACCAATTCGGTTCTGTCAACAAGTAAAATATTTATTGTTCAAAAAAAAGTAATCTAACGTAGATATTTATCGAACAAGCATTAAATACAGCAGTTGATTCATAAAATAAAATATTTTTGCGTGTGGGAGTTCTAAAATATAAATATGTAGATTAAGAAAAATGGATACATGCGAATATTTTTTATTTTATATCTAAAATAACACATGCAGACTGCGAAAAAAACGATGCGATATGTGTGGAACACTTTAGAAAAGGGAATAAACTAGCCGTGGCTATTGAAAAGAAAACAATATTCAACATTAGCAAAAGCACTTAGTTTAACATCTTGTCGTTTGTTTTGTCTTAATAATTCGCAATATAAAATCAAGTCACCGACAAACACTTGCAACTTAATAGATCTAGATTGTGAAAGACAAACTGAAAATATTTCTAATAATAAACACTTTTGACCGGTCCTAATGGTACTTATATGAAAGAGGTTTTACAATAATTACAAGACTAGTAGTTTTATCTTCATATTAAATGACAGATAATGCGTTTTTATTTTTTTTTCTTCCATCGTAAATATGAATTGAAAACATACGGATGCATTTGACTCATCATGTTATTGATTTTTCTAATGATTATTAATATTCTTTTGATTAGACGAAATAAATTTCTTTTGTAACAGCAATGCCAACATTATATATATAGTCAATTATTATTTCTTGCTGTTCACAATTTTAATGTTCTTATTCAATTGTTTTCATTTGTGAAATTTCTTTAAGTTTGTGATAAATTCTAAATAGAACTGTAAAGACATAGTTGATGTGATTAAGTGTTCATACACATTCATCTTGATATATATTCTAAATGAGATCAATGAAGTACTTATTATTAAGCATATAATTCTTCTTTTGCACATAAACTAAAGTCCTTTCAGATGTTTTTTCTTTAATTGGATTTCTGAAGGAAAAAAAAAGTATTCTTTCAAAATGATGCTAATGAGATTTTTTAAAAAAATGTAATACATAACTCTTAATTCATATTTCATAATGTACCTATCGAGGTTTGTATTAAAATTTACTTGATTGAAAAATAAAATATATAATACATTGAAGATTCTTTTAATTGATCAATTTTCGTGTGCTTCGTTGGTATCAAATATTAATTTCAATGTTATTAGAATAGTTTTAAACATACAGAAATGAATATCAATTGTTCTGATTTTGATAAAGAAAAATTATCAATTTCTGTACCACTTAATATTATACTGTTTGATCAATCTTTGTGTGAAATTTGGAATAATGTTTGAAATCTAAAATAACGAAAATCGCTGCTTAGAAATTCATTGACGATGAATGAAGATCGTTTTTTTGTTTAGAACACAATCCATGGTTTTATGTTTCGCTTGTTAATTTCATAATTAAGCATGAATAAAATTGTTACAAAACACCATTGTTCTTACTTATCCTTAAGTAACCTTTCAAAAAGAAATTCACTAATTTCAATACCAAGATTTAAAAAGGCAACAAGTTAGTCATGTTCATTGCTTCTTGTGATATCAGTAGAACTCTTTCCTAAATTGCACTTCTATTCATATCATCATCTTTCATTCTATAATTAACTATTTATATCTATAGTTATTAATAAAATTTCATATATATATCGTTTTTTTTTCGGGGAATATTTACTGTTTGATATAAATTAATACATGTCATATGTAGCAACATATTTAATTACTCAATCACAAAAGAAAACAGAAAACTGTCAAGCGTGTATATGATTATCATAAAAAGTTCAATAGCAAGATGATTTCACAAAAGTTCATTTTTTTGTTTTAACAACAACAACAACTAAAAAAGAAAGAAAGTTACAATTATACAATAAAAAATTATGTTAAAATTATTTTCTTACCGATAATAATTGCGATAATAATAGCGATAACAATACCCAGAATAACCCACATCTATAAAAAAAAAAAGAAAATATTCAATATACAAAAATAAAAGAAAACCTTACTCGACAATTTTTCCACCAAAACTTGCTTTTAAGTTTTTGTGAATGAATAGCAAATTGTCGAGAACCTTCATTTAACATGTCTATATAAATATAAAGAAAAATTTTCAATTACATTCATTTTTCTTATAATTTATTACCTGATTTGTATTCAAGATCATCAAGTTTTCCACCACGTTCTAATTCTAATTGAATATTTTTTTTCATAACACCAGTAACCTAATCAAAACAAAAAGAAAACATTGTTAAATATAAAATAATAAACATGTTCATATTTTATCTATACTTCATCAACTTGTCCTTGTAATTTTTGAAGACTTGCTGGTGGTGTATAACGGACACTATTCGATTGATAACCTGGATTAGACATACTTACAGCCCTTTATGCAGAAAAAGAAAATAATTTCTTTTGTTACTAAAATACTATTATTCTTACATAGTGTATTGTTTTACACAAGACAAACTTCTAAATAAAAAAGAGAAAAAAAGAGAGAATTTTGTGTTTGTTTGCTGATTAATCATGAGATTTTTATCAGTGTACGACATGATATTTATTATCTCAAGTGACGAGCACAACAAAAAAAGAAAGAATGAAACCACTGATTGTTGTTGTTGGTGCAACAGGTCGACAAGGTGGAAGTGTAATCAATGCATTAATTAATTCGAATAAATGGACAATACGTGGTCTTTCAAGAAATGTTACATCAGAAGATAGTCAAGTATAATTTATTACAAACAAAAAAGAATAATTAGATTTTTGTTTTTCATTTAATTTAAATTTAGAAATTAATTGCAAAAGGTGTTGAAATGATATCGTGTAATGTAAATTCGTTAGATGAATGTTTAGAAGCCTTTAAAGGATCTTATGGCGTATTTGCTATGACTAATTTTTGGGAATGTGGTGCAACTAAAGAATATGAACAAGGTATGAATATGGTCAATGCAGCACGACAACAAGGTGTAAAACATTTTATTTGGAGTAGTTTACCTGATACAATAGCTATTTCTAATGGACAACTTGATTTACCACATTATATGTAAGTAGAAATGATCGTATAGTTTAATATTAGTTTTGAATTATATTTAATAGAGCAATAGTATTTCAATTAAAATAGTATTACTATATTTTATAGTTTAATGTAATAGAAGTTTTCATGAAAATTTTTTGCCAGAAAAATTAATAATCTTTGAAATATTTTATGAACTTTATAAAAAACAAATTGATCTCATGAAGATAATCCTTTCATTTATTTCTTATCAAGTTTTTAAACAAAAGCGGTTAGCGCAAATCTTGCGGAGGTGAAATATTAAACATGATTTAGCTGCTTTTGCTAATCACAGAGACATTGTTTTAGTTTATGTATTTTGAGATACATTTTTTTTTATCATCGTATTACTTAATCCTTCAGAAATGCAATCTATAGTACGAGAAAGTGTTGTTAATGTGTCTGTGATAGTTTCTGACCAGCGTCTCCCATGTTTTGCAAACCGCCGGTTCATCTACTTGATTATTTTTTATATCTCGCTGCATGAATATTTTTAAACACAAGCGTTTTCGATTACTTTCATCTGCATGGAAACAAGGCCTACTGATGGGCAACATAGCAGCTCAAAAGGATACGAACACCTGAAAATGTTCCTTCATCAGTGGTTACATAATAACTTTGTTATATGAAGTGATTTGATCTTTCTTGTAGATTCTGCACATAAGAACTTTCATGACACTTTATCTGATATACAATAACATAGGGAAATAAATAAACAAAACTGTCATAAATTACGATTTTCTACGAACAGATCCGAAATGAAATATATGTTTTATAAATATTGTTTGGTTCACAGATAAGATTTATTTTGTAAATTTCGACACAATTCTGAAGATGATTAACAAAATTAAATTATAAAAAAAAAAAAGGATAATTTAAATTATTATTATTATTATAGGATGAAAGCTCGTATTGAATCTTATATTCGTTCTCAACAAGACCCACCATTATTTCCTTACACAACATTTATTTATGTTGGTTTTTATTATCAAAATTTTCAAACATTTTTTCAACCAACAAATGATTTTGAATTTCGTGTTTTACTTCAACCAACTGCTCGTCTTCCTCTTTATGATGTTCGTGATACAGGTCCTGTTGTTGTACAATGTTTCGAACATCCTGATCGATGGGGACAAGGAAATATTATTCCAATTGTTGCTGAACGATTAACAATGGATGAAATATGTGAGACAATACGACGTGTTACAGGAAATAAAAAAATTCGATATACACCATTAACATATGATCAATGTATTGGACAAGCAAAAGAAACACTTGATAATATGAGATGGTATAATGAATATGGAGATGTTGAAGAAAGACATGCAGAAAAAACAAAACAAGTTTATAATCAAATGAAAACATTAGCAGAATGGATTGAAGAAACAAAATGGTTGATGAATAAAAAAACTGAACAATAAATTGAATGAATCTTTTTTTGTTAACTTTCTTGATCAGGAGATTTTTCAATATCTTCTACATCCTCATCATTATCATTATCATCATCATCTTCTTCGTTTTCGTCTTCTTCTTCTTCTTCCTCATCCTCTTCTTCATCTTCATCTTCATCTTCATCTAAAAATAAATAAGTTAATAAATAGATAATTTAATAAATAAAGCAAACCTTCATCACTTTCATCATCGTCATCTCTTGGTGCTCGTTCTTCAATAGATTTTCCACCAAACGTAAAATTTTGACTACCTTCACCACGTATAAAATAATCACAACCACTATTGATACCTAAACCATCATCATCTTCGTAATCATTTTGAACTTTTCTTCCATAACCATAAGCACGGGCTTACAAAAAAAAAATAGAAATATATTTTTTTTGTAAAATTTTGGTAAACTCTTTACTTGACATTGATAAATCTTTCGTTTCTTTTGTTGGAAAATTACATTTCGGACATGGAAATGCTTCACCTTGAGTATATTTAAAACCACGTCGTCTAATATGTTCGTCACAATAACATACTTTACATCTGTTAAAAGATTTTTAAAAAATTATTTCACTTTTTTTTTAAATTTAAATTTTACCTTAAGCATGACCATTGACCATGTTTACTACAAGATGCGCCTAAATATTTAGAAAACTATGACTATTAATATATATTGAAGTCTATAAAGAGAAAATTGAGTCGTTATAGTTCGGAATGAATTAAGAAAATATTTTCGATCTTGAATAGAATATATATTCCTAATGTAGAAGTAATTGGTAAGAAACGTATGAGCTGATGGAAGGTAAACATCATTCTTCTGAGTTCAATTGAAAATGAACTCATCTAATAGAGCAAACATTTATGAGGTAACAGAGACGTTCTCGATATTTCTGTGATCTTTCTTCATCAAACTACAGTGAATCTAAAAAACTATAATGAAAAAATTATCCATCGGCTTTGGGTTCATTCTAAAATTCACTACAGATTGATGAAGAAAGATCATAGAAAGCTCGATGAGATCGATGTCTATTCGTTATTTTTCAAAGAAAATCGATGTTAAAAATAGCAGTGACACACTAAAAATCGAAACTATTAATCATAAGAGACAGATTCGATTATCACATATTTCAAAATATAAGATATTCTATGATAGATATTCATGTTTTATATTTAAAGTTCTTACATTTATAATTTTCTGACTCTAATACTTGACATGATGCTTGATGTTCAAATTGATCATCTTCACAAAGAAATTGATTACAAAATGAACATTGAAAAACTCGTCCACCTATTTCAAGAAACAATACAAAAGAAAACGGAATATATTCTATTTGAATAAATGTTATTTTTACCATGTTCCCAAACGCTTCGATTACATTCAATACAATCACCATTTTGTAATGGACATTGGCATGGATGTGTTGTTAAACATTTTTTTGAATGACATATCCATGCTTCACAAAAATCACAAATAGCACCCTAATAATACATCAGTATATAAAAGAGAATTAAATTTAATAAACTTCCCACCTTACCACTAACTGAAGACCTGTAGCATGTATACTTCCATGTTTAACAAGACAATCACCTGTTTTCGATAGACATTTTTGTTTTCCTAAAAATGAATAATATATATATATTATCCAGTTCATTTATTAAAAAGCATACCACATTGTGCACATACAGGTAATGCTTGTAATGTTTGACAAAAGTAACAAAATGCACGATTTTTCTGTTGTTTTTTGCATTTATCACAATCCTTGAAATGAAGATAAAAAATTAATAAATTAGTTGAATTTTCATAAATTCAAAAGTATTTTGTGTTTTTTTTCATGTTTCTTCGTATTGATATACAAACCATCAGAAAATTGCAAGGCCATTCAACTAATTGTTTGTTATAGAAAGCTGATTGTAATAATTTCTGTCGTTCTTTTTGTTTCTCAGCTTTTTTTCGTTGTCCTGTTTTACGTTTCGGCATTATATCTGAAATAAAATAAAATAATATCACAGTATATCATTCTTTTTTGAAAAGATGAATACTTATCCAAATTAAGTATTCATATTATTCTTTGGCAATATCGGCAGCGAGTCTACGTAAAAACCGGATCAAGCGAATGTAAGCTATTGGTTGCATAGTATAATCAATCAAGTTATACAGGTTTTTTTTAAAACATTCATATTCATTTTCTTATTTAATTACATTTTAAAATTAACTGTATGAAAAAACAACGATATTTTAAAAACCAATGAAATCGAGAGATACATCCTTGAGAGGACGCCACAAGTTCAACGAGCTTAATTTTTTTTGTCATTTGAATTCTCGTAGTGATAACAACATTTCTGAGAAAGGAAATCTTGTCAATCAAGTTTTCTAGATGATTTTTGATGAATTCTGACTCACGTTTTTCATGACTAGAAGATCTACGTTCTGACATCCATTCTAATTGTTGATCTCAATTCAATGCTTATTTCTGTGAGGTAACATTTATTACAATATTTCTTTAATCAATTATCATCATCAGCAACGAAAGTATTTATCTTTTAAACAAATCCTTTTAAGGCTCATTTCATATACTTTACGATTCGACCTTATTGTTTCAGACGAAATCAGTTTTAATATGAAACAAATTTCTATAACAAATTTATCGATCCAAAAAACTGAAAAACCACAATTATGAGTCATGTATCCTTCGATAATTCATTGTAAATGGAAACTTATAATTCTTAATCATTACCATTGGCGAGAAACTAGCATGAATCAGAATCAATTTTTATTTTGAAACTGAATATTTATGTTTGCGGCTCGTAATTTGCTTCTCTAATGGATAGCACAAGTCTATTGATTGTTGAAGAATAAGTCAATAGAATAGTTATAGAACGCTACAATGAACAAAGCATAAACAAACAGAAGATACATGAGAAATATAATTTCAAATTATTCTCTTTCGAATTAAACTTATGCAATGCTATCGAGCACTGAGTCTAGTCTATATTGCTCATTTTTATTGATACTTATGACTTTAAAGATACAAAAAAAGCTGGTTTTGGATATTGGCTTAGGTAAGTCTTCTTTTTATCTACAACTACACTCCTATCGAATCAGCATACTTCATTTTAATTTTTGAACTAACCAATACATTCTTTTTTGCTCCGTTTTGTGCATATGAAAAAGATCTTATATTTCACACTCTAGTATAATTATCTACAAAAATCTCTTTCTTCTATTCAAAATAAGCAAAAGGAAAACAGAATTTTTCTTTCCATCTATCAAAAGTAGCAATACAGACAGTTTTTTTTCCAACTTTTAAATATTGTTGTTGTAAAAGTAATAGATATTGAATCGAGTCCATTGCCTTCTTCATCCAATGATTGTTGACATTCCGCTTTAACAACACCGTCTCGTTCTTTCATCCAATATGTCGATGTTTGAAAGTCTATGTATTCATTTCTCTTTGACCATTGTCGTTGTTCCCAATCACATGCATGTAAATGAAATTTTTCAACTTTTACTAAGTATCTAGATAAGAAATATTGCCATTTTTGACAATCGATTAGTGTTATTGGAGATGACGTAATAAGAAATGATTTTAAATTTGGTGTTCGTTTAAAAATTGACTCGAGATATGTAAATGTAAATCCCCAATTAAAGTTTACCACAAGATTTGTAAGGAAATCAACTGTCAGTCCGTCATTAAGAAAATCCTGTTGTGGTGGATTATCATAAATCGTTGCTGTCAATGATTTTACTCTAGGTAAGAATGACGGTGACAAAATACAATCGAATTCATCGAAATAGAGTTGGTAGATATTTAAATATTCAATGTTAGTTGTTATCGGTTGATTAAATAGTGGTACATTGTGCGTTCTTTTACGTGAATCATTATGATCCATTATAGCAAATTTCAATGTTTTCAAATGAGTACAAGAATGAAATATTATTTCATAGGTACGTCGAAGATCATCTGCAGTTAATTTCGACTGAAATAAATTAAAAGCAATACTCAAGGATGTTAAATAAGTCAACAGTGGCAATTGATCAATGATCATAGGAAGATCGGTTGTCGTAATGATCAATCGTAAGCTTAACGAACGTAATTGTCGAAATAATTTTAATGGATATTGAATGAAAAATTCTTGTTTTTCATGTTGATCTTCCTGTTCAAACGTAATATATTTTAATGATTTTACGGATAATATTTGCCGTTCATTTAATTTCGTGATCAATTTATATTTTGTTGAGGACAAATCTAAATGTATATTTGACAGTTGAGCTAAATAACCATCAATTCGCCGATTTAAATGAGCGAACGTATTGTATAATTCAGTAAAATGGAAAAAATCGAATAGTTCAAAAAATAGTTCACTTGATAGATCTTCAAAAACAGTTTTACGGTTTAGCAATAGTATATCAAGAGTGTATTGCATTTTTCTCGACGATTAAGGGCTGTTTGTTTCTTGTTGCTGTTGTTGATGCAATAGTAATGAATAAAACTATAGAGACAACGCTGACTATTTATAGGCAAGCGTCAATATACTACGACAGGAGCCAACGCTGGTGTATTAGGTTCGAGTTTTTTTCTTCGATTCTACCATTAAAAAAAGACAGTTATTCTACTGCATTCATATATCTGTAGTTGATTCTCACATTTCTTTTTCTGTCGTGTGCCATGCGTCGACAACAAATAACGAAAAGAAGCGAAGAAAGAAATAAAGTAACGAAGGAAATAAAAAAAAAGTGTTGGCAATAACATTTTTCTTTGCATGAATCATCGATTGACTTCATCTGCTTTGGATTGCCATTCGTAGAACTTATCGATGTGAAGCTATTACAAACACCAATACTATGAAATAATCATACACATCCAATCAAAACACAATCCATACTTTACTTTAGTTTATCCAGCTTTTATTGAGGAAAAAAAAGAGAAATCATGGTGCACTGGACGGTTTTTTAAAATATCATTTTTCCAGAAATTTCCTACGCTGTCTATTACTCAGTTTATCTTTAATCTAAATAAGTCAAATCGAGTCTTTTGTTACGACAATTTTCTGGTGAATCTCTGTAGTGCTTGCGAAAGGTGTTGTTTATAAATCATTGACGGAAGAATGAATACAACTGATGTTAGTACACTTGGCAAGTAAGTAATATAGTATCCCATGATCATTAAATAGGGTGTTGAGCATTCGGTTAAGTTCATACATGTTGTTAGAAATGCGATAATGAGTCGTGGAACGGCAAATAATACTAGTGCAATTGGACTAATGAGCAAGTGTTTATTTCGGTGTAATTTTTTCCAATATGTTTAACGATAGTGACCACTTCTTTTTGCTCGAAATCGAGATGTAAGAATGATGATAATGATGGATGAGAGAAGATTAATACTGAATGGCACCAAATAATGGATCATTGTAATCGTTGAACTGTACGCTTTAAACCAATCTGATGGAAATGATACAACACACCATGTTCGCTGTTCAAACTCATCGTACAGTAAGTAACGAAGGAATGATCATGGAGGCAACCGACAAGACTGAGTAGAAGAATAAAGCCCGCAATATATTTCTCTATTTGGTGACCCAGTGCTTTTCTATATCGAATACCAAAGTAGGCAATGAAACATTTTTCATGAAGACATAGGCTTGTAACCAATTGTTGACAATGGGAAAAATTTTGAGGAGAAATTGGTTGATGAGACAACCTCTATAGGAAACAAACTGATAAATTTGTTGAAACAGTAAACGTAGAAAATCTGTCAAACAATTGATAGACGCAGCAAGTAAATGCCTCGTCCCGTTGATCGAATCGGCGGTCGACTAAAAGTGATCAAACAAAAGCCAACGTCGATAATACCCAACATGAAAACAGCACTAGCCTTTGTGAGACTCAAGAAAACACTGCTGGATTGTTGATGAAGTCTAAGATGAAGTTTAATGAATGGTCCGAAAATAGCTTCCAAAGAGAGTGAGTAAGGTCTGGTCGAGAATTGACAAAAACGACCGAATGTGCATTCATGATATACACAGATGCTGGCCTTTGGACATCGTCTCTCGTCCTGAATGCATATACCACGATTTTCACAAGGATTTGCATGAGCTGGGCATCTAGCAGTACTATTGGCAATGACAAATGGAATGCAGTCGATTTGATTGAATTTGTTACATAAGCAAATATGATTCTCGCCATAGAAACATTGAACTCGAGTGGTAGTATTTCGACAAAAACGTGGATAAAATTTCACTAGACGTAGATAGGGGCGATTGAGCAAATGTGGAACGAAAGATTTTTTTGATTGGACGACATTCATTAGCATTCGTTACTTTGACATTAAGTCGATCATAAGACATATGTGACTCGCCACCATTGAGGAAGACCATATGTAATGGATTGGTATTTCTATCGTCAAACAATTGAACGAGAATAATGCTCGGCAAGAATTGTTCTGGGTAGAAGGCAACTACTTTATTTTGTTGGAAACCGATCCTTCGAAAATAGGAGCGACTCTGTTTCTCAGATGTATTAGATAAGGAAATAAAATGTACGAGAATCGCGCCTGGTACTGGAATATTGGTAGCAAATCGAACGTTCAAACTAGATGCATTGTATTGAGATTGCTCACCAAAATAATGTTCAGCACAGACACATCGCCACTGTTTCGTTCGAACGTCAGATGGCACACAGACACCACGTTCCCTGCACGGACTATTCTGACAAGGATCAAATGGTACATAGCATCGAGATCCAATTTTGTTCATCGGGCACAGACAAATTCCAGTGGCAATACAATTTGATTCTGAAGCACAGTCACATCCTTCAGCGCTTTCACGATTGCAAAGACGTCCAAACCAAGACGGTTCACAATGACAAAAATACTGTTGCGGCTGATTCAAATATAATTCGCATGTGCCATGAACACACGGCAAATAAGCACAATTCGTAAAGATCTTCGTATGACTATTTTCCAACAGAGAGAGTTAAGCGGCCAGACGATTTACCGGAAGAAAGTCAAATTTGATTGAAAAATAATAAGAGCCTTGATATTCAATTATGTTGGTTCTGTTGAGTCATACGATAGATGCCGATACGAACATGATATTCATCTGTAGTTTGCCAAGACAATGGATAAAGTAAATCGACAATATACTTAGGTAGACACTGGGTGGAAGGCAAGTAGATTATTTCCGTAGAATACGTAATATTGCCAGACGATGTTTGAACATACTGGTCTGTTCGATCATTGTATATGCTTGAAGCTCGCGAGAATGATATTTAATCGCTTTCTCTGATATTGACATCGATCGCCGTAATAAGCTGGTGAACAGAGACATTTGAATCCTTCGTTATCGGTTGTAGATTCGATCAGAATACCTCGATTACAATACCAATTAAGCGTAATATTTCGCAATGATCGAGTTTGAGCACTTTGTGAAAGAATTGGTACGAAATCAAGGAGATTCGTTGATGTAAATGTACGAATTTCACTCTGATCCATCAGATCACATAGCCATTCGTCCCGGGCATTGATAAAATCTGCTGCACCATCCTAGTGCTGGTTTCGAGGGACGCTATATTGCTTGTCTTGCAAAGCAATATAGCAAGAAAAGTTTGTTTCTAAACATCGACCATTATTCCACAGACATAACGGTTGAACATCATCATCATTGAATGGACAATCCGAATGACAATCACAAACTTGCAATGGACTGATGCAGATTGAAGCATTCAAACCTATCAAATAAGAAGATTTCAAAAGAATTGAATCAATATAGAATTCATCTAATTAAACTTCCTCGCCATATACAAAGTGTCTCTGCATAAAATGTTTTAGATCGATGAAGCTTGCGACAGAATTCGCGTTCATCGCTTGAACCGAGACATTTAACTTCCGAATCATTGCTCTTCTGCACCGATGTGCAATATTTAATCATATGATTGATTGATTGAAGGCAAAAAATTCACCTTTTTGCACATTACAGTAGGTGGATGACAAAGTATTCTCACAGAAAAGTTCATCAGGTCCATCTACACAATTCCAAACACCATTACAAAGTGTATAACGCGTCATGCTAGAATAGTCATCACAATTGGTCTCGTCTGTATCATCTCCAATGAATGTTGGTCGAATTTCTTGGATACCATTGCATATGAAAGCAAACGTAGTCTCTTTATTTATTTCGAGACGTCCTGCAAGAATGTCTCAATTTTCACTTAGCGACTTGGTACATCAAAAGCCTAGAGCTTCATCTGAACCATCCGCACAATGTAGTGTAAAAACCATAAGAAACTGTCGTGGTAGACATCGTTGATCAACACTACAACGAAATCGATGCGACAATTGATCGCACATACCATGAAAAATTTCATCTGCAGCCATAAAACAGTCAATTGAGCCATCTTGCACTCGATGACGAGAGATGCATTTGGACGAATTCGAACATTGGAATAATGATGTATGATTACATGACGAATTATTGCTGGATAGTAATCCTATACCATAAAATCAAGTCAAAAGAAGATATTTCACGATAGTGGATGGACGAAAAAAAAGAATTCCACTTGATTCTAGCATATTAGTATTTGCAAGATAGAAAAAAAAAGATTTTGCAGTCACTTTTAGATGCCTGTGGAAACATACAAAATGGTCAGCTTCTTGTTCGATAAGAAGTTTCTCTTTACGAGATTTTGGTCCTTTCACAATCCTCAGTTTTGTAATGAAAATAGTTGATACTGTTATTTTGTCAAAAAATTGACTATGTCTATTCTTCTAGTCAAAACCGATGATACTATGACTTTTGCTATGGAACGTGCTTTCTGAATCATAACTAATTCATGATAAGAAAATTGTTAATTATTTGATAGATTTCTACCTAGTAAAGCACATCGTCCAAAAATGGTATAGAGAGCTATGTAAATATCTCTCCAGTTTGTCGAATTGTCTAAATCATGCAATTCTTTGATTTGTTTCACAAGCAAACACTCTCGATCATCTATGTTTATCGTCGTCTGATACTGTGAACATCGTTTTGAATCGAAATAAATCAACGATGGAATATAATTGCTGAACCAGAGTATCGTTCGATTGAGTTCATAAATAAAGAATATATGATTATCAAAGATAGGTTTCGATGGAAAAATAACATAGGAACGATGAGCACATACGTTCGGTATTCGATTGCTACATTGGAATTGTGAAATGCATTTTCTCTGGCATTCGTTTCGAAACAAATGAAACTTAAATGTACATTTGATGTGTTCAAAACATTCATCATCGGATGAGAACAGTTCTCGCGTATAGAGCAGATCTTGACCATTACCACAAGCAATATTGCTGAGACTCGATACTGATTGAATTGTATCCACATTACTCATTTCTCGACACTGACCGTCACCACAGGTGAATGTCATTGTGGCGCCATAGATCCAATGA